GAAAAGCTCATTTGTGATGAAAAATGCCTACTTACCTCTGTATGGTGTTCCAACTGAGGTGACATACATATTCTTCTCATAATTTTTCAGACGGTCTTCCAGTACATGAATCTAAATAGAGAACAGTCAAAATGATAAATGGTGTTGAAAAGCATCTAAAATAAGCGCCATTAAACCAGTTTTTACCTAAATATCATTTCCTTCTACGAAAGCAAAATACTTTTGCTCTTTAAGGAAGGAAAACATTAAAAACTGTGTTATTAAAAATTGTCCCTTAATTGTTACTTAAGGAAATGTGTGTAGATGCGTATATACGTGTAAGAATATCTATAGCAAACGTTATGCATATATATGTATTTATATATACACACACTTCTATTTCATACACATAAGTATACATAGAGAAGAAAACATGACAAAAATTGTTCTTAACATCAAAAATGTTTAGTTTAGCAAAAGAGCAGAAAAAAAAAGAATTTCATTAAGTGCATTGTTCCATTTTTCACTGCACAAATGTTTTGCTAACCTGTACCACAAGCATGTGGTATTTCCATTCTCCGGGGATAGAGGAGTACTTTGAAAAACACACAGACCTTCTGAGAGCAAGTATGAGTCAAAAGTATTTTACACGTGCGTTATTTCCGTAGTATGTGTGCGGAGATGTGCTACCTCATCACTTGAGAAGAACAAACCTTTTATTTTAATACTGCGAACACAAAGTATCAAGCAAGAATACTTTCTACTTGTTTCAAACAGCATCCCTTACCTGCTCTTTGAACTCCTGCTCTTTCAGTTTTGAATCATTGACAAGGGTTGTCTTCTGTGCAAGTTGTGCCTGAAAGAACAGTCACATATGGAAATCATCAAGAAACTGCTGAAGATTTATCATAGGTGCCTTTTCAATAAACCTTTCTCTTCTTAATGCACATAAACTTATAAGCAGTATTTCTGCTTTCAAACTGCTGCGAAACAGAATTATCTAGAGAGCAAAATCAACAAAATTTAAGACTTACCTGAAGTTCTGTTATCGTGACCTAGAACAACAAGAATTTCGATTAAAATGCATGAAAAATACTGAGTACATCAAACACTGGACACAGTTTAAAAAAAAAGAAACACCAATCACCTAGTTCTGATAGTCTGATAAAAATTGAAATGACCAACATATTCCTTTAAATATAAGTAGTCCCATAAACAGAGTTTAACTTTTTTGTATTAGCAGTACGTAAAGCTTATATTTAAATTCTTTCATTTAATTCTGTAAGACAATTATCATGAATAGAACTTTAAAAACCTAGTACTTTCAAATCCTTATAAAATGCATATTGGAGGTGAATGATAACTGAATGAGCATAAAGCACATGCCAGAAAACCCTAACTACTATTAATACTATTCACAATATTGTATCTTTTTCCTTAATTCTTCAAGTTGCATTTGAAAACGTGAATGTTTATCTGAAAATGGTTTCAGCTCAAGAGCTTCATGAGTTCTGCATCTTATAAAGATAGCAATGTTTATGAAGTAGAGAAACAATTCTAAGCTGAAATTTCTACCTGTCAGTGTTCCAACTCTAAGGAAAATAACGCTTTAGTAGTCATGGGTATAACTCAAGGTTGTAAATCATTTTAACATCAAATAATTTGTGTGTGAAATTTATTTTTTTTTTTTAAGGTAACCTAAACCTTAACACAGAGGTGGTACATACTACTTGTTTCTTCCCAAGTGTCTTTGGAATTGTGTTGAAAAGCAAAGCTATTCCCCATTTCTGTAAGTTCATAAAACTTGCAGGTTTTCCTATGCTCCACAAACAGAATATAGAGGAAAATTATTCTTCTATGGACGTCGAACCTGTAAGGGCAATTCTTGCTTCTGAAGAGCTCAGTCATCTGACCAGACATGTATTTTCTCAAGAAGAGAGACAGTTTCTGGTATTTTTACATCCCAACACTAACACTTAAGGATGCTATTATTTGCCATCTGCTTATTACAGTCAGACAAATATTGTTCAAACGTATAGTTACACTTTATGTCAAAGCAGATACGTTAGGTGTGATGTTTGGCCGAGACTGACAACAAGCAGCACAGGAGGTTTTATAAGACAGACTTCTGTGACTTGGAAGACTCCAACTTTAGGTGACAAATGTATCAACTGCACGCAAAATGTTGCTTCCAGTCAACAGAAGACTTCTGAGCTGTTTACTACTAGCGCTGAAGGAAAAGAAAAACATCAAGAGAGAAAAGCATTACAAAGCAACAAAATAAAAAGAAATAAGGTGAGACAAAAGATACCATAGCAAATGTAAGGTGACAGAATTCATTTGAATGTGCATGTAGAATCCAGATGTGGATTTGTACACTCCTGCTCAGGTATGTGGACACGGTCCCATCCAATTTTCTCACCTAGCTCTGTAATGTTGCACGCATACGCTATTGTATCAGTTGCAAATATATGATATTGTACCAGGTAACAGCAAAATGAGTTTCCTACAGACACATCAAGGACAGGCAATGGATAAATTAAGACAGGTAAGAATTCAGAAGAACTACTCCTAATTTCTAAGGAGGAAAAAAGAAAACTACCTCCCAGAACAGACTGTGTCAAAGGAGGAGAATCCAATCCTGAAATACTGACAGTGGAAGCTCGCTTACTCACAGCACTCTAAATATTTGAGCTTTACTGGGCCAGAAGATGTACCAGGAGCTATCTGCACACTCAATAGCATAAGCTGACTATAAGAATAGTTATGCTGTTTTGAGACGAAGTCACCATTGTAAATAGCATGAAATACAAAATTCACATTCAGTTAAACTAGAGCTATGCACAAGAAAGCTTGTGAACAATTTGCTAAGTTTGAATTTAGATGGAATTCTCAAAATTACTCAAGAAAGCTTGATGCCTGTATGCAAGCGAAATCATGGATATTTAACTGCCTTACACTCACCAAAAAAGTCCCATTCTTATTCTGCAAGCACTTCAAACCTGGATGCTTGAGCGGTACGTAAGTACATGCACTACCACACAACCTGGTTTTCCTCCACGCCAAATGACACATCATTTATCCCCTAAAACTATTTACCAGCCATGGAGTTCTCTCAACTGGTTTATACCTGCCACAGATGGGACAACTCCTTTGAGTTTCTCCAACAAATGTCATGGAAACTCCAAGGAGTAGAGAACCGCGGACAAGATTCCAAACACGGGCAAAATCAGCTGTTTATTTTGTTTATTGTAAGCAGATTGATCTTTACATAGAGATGTAATATTTGCAATACTCAAATACTTTACAGCTCTATGCTACCATTTCAAATCTGTGCAATGCATTTCTGAAAAGAATTGAGAAATACATGAAATATCATTGCTGGTACATAGATTTGATATAACTTTCAAGTCCTATCAGTGAGTATGTAATCCCAAAGATGAATATATAATATGATGCTAAATAACTGCCTGTAACAGTTAATGAAGACAACCTAAAGATAAAATAGTCTCTGTACTTCTCAAAATAATGTTTTAGGGCTTAGGAGTCTCAAAGAATCTTCCTCCAGATAATAAGAATATGTAAGGTTATCATCAGGGAGTGGACAAGGATTGATTAAAAATACAAGGTAGTCTGATACAAATATTTCTGCTTTTCCTGTTATGAATACAACACTCATGTCACAGAATAGTTTAAAAAAAGTAATCTAAAGGGTGTTGTAAGCAAGTGCAAGGGAGAAGGGACAAACATTAGGACAGTGAGGTAATTTGTACCGTAAGTTTGTAGTGTCAAATAAATACATTTAGTATCTCCGTTGATGCCTGTTGCCAAAGTGAAAAATTTTAAAATAAAGTTAATATGAATTCTCATCAATGACTCAACACCTCTTAACCTTCGTCTCTTCTCAGCATAACTAGTCACATTTTCATCAAAGAATTCCTCAAACTAAAATGAGGTCTCAGAAAGAAAAAAAGCATGCACCCAGTCTTGTTTCAGTGAAGACCTCTCTGTCCATAATTGATATATTCAAGGCACTATTTCAGAGCCCTTTTGAATTTGAACTTAAAAAAAAAAATCACACTAAAAGTGACCCAGTGTGATTTCTTTTCCTTCTAAAAGGCTTCCAGTAAAATTAACATAAAAAAAGACATGTAGAGGGCAAAAAACCCCACTTTAATAATCACAACACAACTGGACTTTTTAGCATACCATTAAAAAAGGTGGTATCAAATACTCCAGTTTCTAAAGAGGTTCACTTTTGAAGAAGTTAACATCTAAAAGAATAGAAACTGTATGGAAAATTGAAGGCCAGATTTATAAATAAAATCCAATTAAGAGCAAACCACAGAATTTTATGAAGACGAAGCATTTCACAGCTAAAGATATAAAAATCAACATTAGTGCCAGCTCACTTTTTCACTGTTCCAATGTTCCTCTTCAGCCATCCTTTGTTTGTATTCCTTTTGCAAACCTTCTAGCTGTGCCTGCAACTCATGAACTTTTGCTGTCATCTCTTCTTCACGAGCCTTCAAAATACAGGAAAAAATACCTATTTATACACTTAATCATCTATTTATACACTTAATCACCTAACAATTCAAAACCTTAACTACAGTGGACAGAAAGCAATCAGCAAAAAGTTATGCTACCACAGAAAGAATAGGCTTGAAATTCAGTATAAAAGCTAATTACACTGCGGGACTACTGAAAAGGGCAAGTAACAAATATAGGAGCTTAACAAGATTTTGCAGGCCTTGGACAATTAAAATGACATAGTTAGGATAAAAGTTTTTTGAAAATTACAAAAAAGAGCTATTTCTATCAGGCACTAAAACAGCATTCAGGTATTAAGTGTATTACTGGAGAGATTGGGCTTGCTTACACGACTGTCATGAAAGGGGCACATGATGGTACAGAGTTCCTTCCTATGCTCTGGAAGTGACAAGGACTCAGATCATTTCCTCACTCACTCTCACAAAGATGTTCCTAAAGCATTTCTAAGCACATCTTCAGAAACGACAGCTTCCCATTCACAACGGTTTGGAGGGCACCGTGCAGCGTGGAGGAAAGAAGCAGCAGCAAAAACGGTAGAGAGGAAATGAATTTTTCCTGTATGTTTTATGACAATGTGAAGAGTACATTTATAGGAGAAAAATACGATGACCTAAACCTTAGCAAGTTAATCCACCTATATAGCACTTTGCAAAAACAAATATTTTTAAAAACTGTCCCCTCCAGCCTCTTTGTGAGATAACATGTTAGGGAGCTTATAAAACTCCAACTCAGACGCATGTCTCCGCTGCTGAACTGAACTCCAACTCTAGTTTCATTCATGCCAACCACTCAGGGCAGGAAGGTGCCTGCTCTGCTGTGCAGTAGTACTTCAGATCAAATTAGTACAATTCATCAACTGTTATCAAGAACAGAACTGCTAATCCAAGTTTTGTTCCATTCAAAACATCAGGAGTACAACTACAGCGATACAGAACATTCACTGGAAAATTAAGCGCAGAACTGGAAAGCTGGTCCAGACTTAATAGATTTAGGGTACGCCAAAAGTAAAATAAAAAAAACCCCACAGAATTACTTCCCTGTAAGGTCACTTTTTCATGCGTTCCTTGCACCCTACTTAAGAATAAAACATGCAGCCTCTCAGCCCAGAAACCACCAGCAACAAGAAACACAGCAACCCACCCCCTCCAGAAGCCAGGGAGTGGGAAATCACAGGACCCACGAAAGTTTTATGGCCTAGAAGTTTTAAGAATATCCATCGTCAACAAAAAACCTTTCTCAAACATCATGATCCCCGAAGAGTGCTATTTTTTATTTGTTCATATGATTTTTCTATGCCCTCAAAAATACACCAACAATTAACCTTTACTAAGATTTTTTTTATACACGGTTATAACTCCTCTAGTGGAAAATCTTCAATACCTGACATATTCAGTTGCTTCTATTTTCTCTTGTTTGGCGTTTTTTTTGGAGGGTGGTGTGGTAATGGTTGTTGTTTGGTGTTTTTTTGTGTTTTTGGTTTTTTTTTTTACATCAAGGATCTAAAAATCTTACAATTCCTAGACTACTGTTCACTGAACTCGAAATTGCATGCACAGCATTGTTAGTCATAGAGGAGAGTTGAAATGCAGAAAAGAAATTCAATTGAAAATGATGAATCACACCTCCGGTTAAAGGGACCTACCTGTGAGCTGCTTTTTTTTTTTATAAACCCTGAATAGAGATTATAATTTAAAATTTGAAATAATTAGAGATCACGTGATGTTCCAACATGCTACAAAATCTATACTTATACTAGAACCTATTGTTCTATACAGCATCTGGCATACTCTGAAAATAAACGGCACACTATTTGGATTTAATTACAGTTATAGACTAAGACTTCAATTAAGTTGTAACTTCCCAAATCTCAACCATATCCTGCATTCACATGGGAGGCATTACGACAAATGAAAGAATATATACCTGAAGTTAAGATATTTTGGTTTTAGCTCATAGATAGGCTTTAAAATAAGCTAGCTGGAGCACAGCATTCAATGTTTCTCTAATTATATACTTTAGTTGAGGAAAAAAGACTTAGGCCTCAAATTACAAGGGATGCTGATTTACAAGTCCTTTAATTAGGCAGATTTTCACGAAATCTTCTGTGATAGCAGTTTTTATGAAAGATAAGCCAACAGCAGATAAAGCAAGAGAAGTACCAGGGGAGCACTTCCCAAATAAATCATATTAACTTTAACAGACTGAATGATTCCTGTTCGTCTTTAAGGATATATACTCAAATCAAGTTAGACTAATTTTTAGCATCATTAACCATGTTTAAAACGCAGCAAAGAGCTACAAAGTTATATGAGCAAAATTCGGTCTTGCAATTGGTATTATTTTTGCTTCATGTTCTTACCATTTATGACAGAGACAAATCTCTCTGCATAAATGTCTTGATGTGAAACTTCTCAAACCTATCATGAGCCAAGTCAGGTATGAGCGAGGTAATAACTGGTAACTTTAGGCTAAATTGAGAAAACATACACATCTGCTGATACATATGTTCCTATTTCAATCAGGCATCTCAACAAATATGACACACACACTCAATTTAACATAAATAGTTCTTAACTTTTGATATGCTTGCAATACTTTTTCAGGAAAAAAGGTAGCAAATTCTTGGAACTTTTTTTTTCCCTTCCCTAAAATAATAGAAAGACTCGAAAATATACCATTACCTAAAAAAGAAACATGTACTCTAAAATTCAAAACATCAAAACTACAGGTTATTCTAGTTCCAGGCAACTGTTGCTGCCATCATCAATGAAATGCAAAAAATAACAGTCTTCATGTCTCCCAATTGCACAGAAGTCAAATTAGCCTAAGCCTTCAAGATCATACGCTGCGTACTGCAAGCACGTTTCTGACATACGTACAGACTGAATGCACCAGAAAACAGTGAGGAATTACACCTGCATGACTTCAAATCACAGACCTATTTGGGCCTGTAAAGCAAGGACCTGAATGGCAAGGCACTGCACATTCAGGTAAGAGAAATATAAATCCCCCAGAAATGCAGAATTCAGATCTATGGTACAAAAAAATAATCTCAATTGGTTTATATGATGCAATTTTTTTAAATTAGGAAACAAAAGGAGACTCTAAATTTAAAACCCTGCCATCTCCATCCAACTTGCTCGAAGTTCAAAAATCAGAATGGAACACACTAACCTGCCTACAAAACCGAAATTTTTAGTATGAAACACTCAGTCACGCTCAGTACCATAGCTCTTTGGGCTACTAACTGAGAATAAACAAACAGAAGTTCACTTACATTTATTACCACTGGCTCCATTCAAGTGACATTCTTTTTTATTAAATTATTTGTGCAAACAGGACTAAGATTAGCAAAATTAAAGCCTGCATCCCAATATGACGTACAGTCTAGCACTGAAAACCATTCAATCTTTTGTTGCCATACGTGTGGGGCTGGGACAGTTTAACTGGCTGAAACAGGAGGCATCCTTGGATGGTATCTTTAGACTGAAGCTGGCTGCTAACTTCTGGCTGAAACGTTGCCAGAGCAAAACTACATCTATCTGCAAATATCATGCAGACAAACTGTTTGCTTGCAAGTAAAAATGAAAGCTTTGCTAGCATAAAAACGATGCAAACAGACTGCACCCTGCATAGAACAGAACCTTACTTTAAGGGCTATGGTGCCAATCCGGATGGGGCATCAGAGGAAGGAGCTAGACAGTGAGGCTGACTCAAAAACACTGTATTTAAACCCTTAAAAGAAATAACACACCACCACAACTCTAGTAATACTTAAATTTAACTCAGTTTCTTCATTTCAATCTAGAACACAAACTGCTCAAGGACATAAGAGCCTAACTGCACAATTTTCATTGAATGATCAGAGCTGAGACTTAATTTCTGCTGTTCTTTCAAGTTCATAAAACACAGAAACAATCATTTTAATTGCAAGCTAAGCCACCACTCATACCAAATGCAATGCAAGCAGCAAGATCTTTACTAGAAAGAATTAGAGTTTTTCTGTCCAGCTGTGCAATGAAATTTGAAAGAGTTATTTTGAAATGTATGTAGTTATATCACTTTTCAGAAAGATACCTCGAGGATTTCTTCATATTTTTTCACAGTTCTTTTTAGATCATCATCTTTTTCAGCAATTTTTTTATGCAATTGTGTTGTCTCTATGTGATGATTTTCTATCAATTCAGTTTCTACCTCCTGGGCTTTATCTATAAAAAAAGAGTCAAGTGATATTAAAAAAGCATATTTGTTTTGTTAAATTATGTCACAACTTATTAAAAAGCTTAAAGACAACTGTGGAAGGCATCTATAAGGAAAACTTGTCCAGAAAATTAATTTTTCACACTGTCAGTGATAATTATGTCACTTGATCCTAATATGTATGAAGTTTGCTGTCTGCAGTTTGGTATCCAGAGCAATTTTTCCTACTTCACGCTGGAATTTTTCTCTAAAAGTTAAGATCACAATCAATATTTATCAACTAATTCTATCTCCTACTCTATCTAGAGAAGCGACTGAAACATCTGCAAATCTCCAGAAATTCCTCACTTGTAGGGGTACTTCCAGTAACTGTGGAGTCAAGTAATTCTGGAGTCAAAAGATACCTTCTGCTGACTTCTCTGACCTCCAACTTACACTATGGTGGCAAAGGACTGACAGAGAAGAGAAGCTGAAATATGCTGTACTCTAGTTATAACCATATGGTACAGCAGACATCATATCCATTTGGTACATGTTAGTGGTTACAGTGAATGAAGTCTGCAAAATGCAGCTAAAAAAATGCAGTTCTGATTCCCAGATGGATCTAAGTTTCTCTAAAAGGCACCCTTTAGTGCCATTCAACAATGGAGGGTTAAAGGTTTGTATTGCTGAAGCCAAAGCAGTATTACAGTGAAAACTTACCAACGTGCTTTCACTTCTAAAACCCTACTCTCCTTTTTTTTTATTTTCTTTTGTACCTATGATAAAAAGATAGCACCTATGGCTATCATGGGTAACTCTTGCCATGACAGATGCAAACAGGCAGAGTGCTACATCAAAGATCCATCCCACAGGATAAGGAAGAACAGCTACACAGTATTGTTAATTCTGCTACAATTAACATTTCTGTGTTATTTCCTGAGCAAGAGAAGTTCTTTCCCCGAGTTCTCCAGGCAGTCGTAAAACACGTTGTCTTTATCAGAGTTCCAGCATTGTTAATTCTGCTACAATTAACATTTCTGTATTATTTCCTGAGCAAGAGAAGTTCTTTCCCGAGTTCTCCAGGCAGTGGTAAAACACATGTTGTCTTTATCAGAGCTCCAGTTAAACCCCTTTCCCCAAAACATGCAAAAATTTGGTTTTCTGGCTATTTTACTGATTACAGTTATATTAGTATTTCACTTACTGATTGTCTCTTTTACTGCTGTTTCCAATTCTCTCTCTTTTTGAGCCAGCTGAGTATTGAACTCTCTCATTAACTGCTTTAAGGTGGAGTTGTGCTTTAACTCAATGTCTTCTTGTTCACATCTATTAAAAAATTGTCAAAAAAATATAGTGAGGAAATGAAATGTTTGAAGAGACGGCAAGAACAGTTTAGCAAGGCAGGAGATCTGAGAATTCTCAAGAACTGTTTTAGAATGGGATGGTTTTGAATTAGATTAAATCAGTGGGATTCAAGGAGGCTTTTTGTTCCCCTCCCACTGAATTCACCAGGAAGACGTAGGTGTTTCATTTAAAAAACAACCCAGAATTGAACCCTTCCAAAAGACATGGAGTGTTCAATGAGGGAGACGAAGAACTGGAAGTAAAGAATGTGCTGCATAAAACCAGAATTTTTAGGAAATTCCTTGCCGGAGAAACTATTTGAGTGCTGAGCAGTATATCACATTTTTGTGCAGTACATACGAACAATTATTGATATCATTTGAACATGAAGCTCTCAGTACTCAGTTTGATTGAACTTTTGTTTCCTGTTTGAGGAAAAGAGGACTATATTTTACATCCTGGCAATGCTGAAAATGACCATCACTAATACAAATCAAAAGTGATATTACTCTGCCAAAAGATAAACCGCTTTTTAAACTGATGACTCAGACAATGTTTTACGTGTTCATGAAGTGCTACTTGCAAGTAGCTCTTTTCTTCTTGTTTCTCTGTTTATAAAAATGACAGAAAAACACCAGTCACTATTTCATCGTCAAAAATGGAGCTTTAAAAAGGTATTCTTGAGGGTTTAGTGGTTAAAAAAAAAGCAGAGAAATAGTAGCAAGACCAGGACCAAAGAATTTACCTGATTTTCTGCTCCATTTCTTCTAAGGACTCCTTCTTTAATATGTCAAGCTCCTGCTGATGTTCTTTTCGCAGAGCACGTAAGTCTTTTTGAAGATTATTCACTTCTTTGCGTAGTTTCTGTTTCTCCCTTTCAGTCTCTTCCAGTTTAGTCTGCAAGTCCTTCTGCTGGTTCTGCATATCGCCCAGTAACTTCTGCAGCTCCAAACCAGATTTAGCCTTTCCTTCAGCGTTTTCCTCAAAAGCTTTCAGACTGTCATTTCTTTCATCCAACTGTTGCTGTAAACTTCTTAGCTTTTCTTCATATCTCGAACTCTTCTCTTCCATTTCAATCTTAAGCACTTCATTTTCCCTCACTAAATTTTCCATCTCTTTTATCTTCAGTTCTAAAGATTGCCTGACTGCCTCCTTTTCCTGCATTTTTTTCTGGAAATCTCCTATTACATTCTCCATATCAAGATGTTTTTGCTCTTTAGCTTTTAATTCTTCCCTGGTGCTTGCTAAATCACCACCACACCGAGCATGCTCATCCGCTAACAGTGAGTATTTTTTGGTTTGCTCCTCAAGTTCTTTTCTGAGGCTTTCAGTCCTAATCTGCTCCTCCTGATGGCTCTTCTCAACACATTCTAATTTTTTAAGGAGTTCTTCCTGTTTGTTTTGCAGTTCTAGACGACAGTCATTACTCTCTCGTTGTTCTTTTTCGTACTTCTGCAACAATTCATCTTTTTCCGTTAAGCCCTTCTGTAACACGTGCATTTTCTCTTCATATGTCTCTCGGACACTCTGAAGCGTTTTGGTTTTTTCTTGCTCTACAGCAGCTTTTACACTTTCTATTTTTTGCAGCATTTCTTTCTCTAATTCTGTGGAATCTCTTGTTGACTTAATTTTTTCTTCCAAGGATTCAATTTTGGCCTCTCTCTCCTGCACTTTTTGTTCCAAGTCTCTTAACTGATTTTCTCTGTCCTGCTTAAATTGCTTTTCCCTTTCACCCATTTGAGACATCAGTTGCTTTTTAATAGAACCGATTTTTTGCTCTGCCTTTTTTTTCAGATCTGCCAGCTTAGTGCTGTTCTCTGCATTCAGTTTCTCTTCCAATTCTTTCAGTTCTTCCTCTTTGCTTTTAAGCATCACTGATTTCATTTGATCAAATTCCCTCTCCTTTGCTTCAAATTCAGCTTTCAGTGACCCTATTTGCTTCTCAAGATTAAGCACTTTTTCTTCAGCTTCCTTAAACCTATTGTCCTTTTCAAAAGCCGCCTTCTCTGCCTGCTGGAGTTGCCAAGCTATCTCTTTCTGTTCTGTGTCTTTTTGTTCATGATACTTTCTGAGTTCCTCCATCAAGGAATCGTTTTCTAAAGTTTTCTGAGCAACGTGTTCTTCTAGTTCAGCAATTCTTGCTGTTTGGTTTTTTAACTTTGCAGTTAACTCACTTTCTTCCTTTTCCCTCCTGTTTTGCTTTTGTTCCAACTCACTTTTTAAACTATCCAGATTCTTGCTTTGTTTAGCCAGCTGCTCCTTCAGTTTATTTAGCTCTTCATCTTTCTTATTGGCTTCAGTATTGCTTAATTCAAGTTTGCTCTGCAAATCTTTAATAGCATCATGATTTTGCGTGAATCTGGTTTGTGCTTTCGTCTTCCACTCCGACAGCTTGGCTGTGCAGTGATCTACCTGCTCAAGAGCCGATGCTTTTTCTTGACTCAGCATCTCAATTCTGGACGATAACTCCTGTACCTGGTTTAACAACTGCATCCGATCCTCTTGATGTTGCTTGCTTAACAGAGACATGGCTGCTTCCTTCTCCGTTAGACTTACCATGCTCTCAAGTCTAACGTTAAGGTCATTAATCGTTTTGTTGAGAGCAGAGATCTCGGATTCTTTTTCCTGGAGTTCCTCGCTCATTGAGGTGACAGCGTTGATATTTTCAGATAACTCTTTCCTCAGCTGTGTTATGCACGTTTCTTTTTCTGATGCTGCTTGCTGCTGATGCCCTCCTTCTTTTTGCAACTGTTCCTTTTCTGTTACGAGTCCTTCAATGTCAGCTCTCATGGACATAATTAAATCGTCCTTCTCTTGTAGCTGTTGCATTGACTTTTGCAAAGAAGTACTTGCGGCAGAATGATGCTCTGTTACTTCTCCAAGTCGAGCTTCTAGCTCAAGAATCTTACTCGTTTTCATTAATACTGCTTCTTTAACTTTCGCAGTTCGGTGCTCGCAATCTGCAATTTTGCATGTTACTACACCGATTTTTTCATTACATTTTTCAATTAATTCATTGCTTTTTGTTTGCAGCAAAGCTTCAGCATTCTTCCAAGAAGCATCCAACTGGGCTGCAAGTTCTGCTGACTGCCTTTTAAACTCCGTTTCTTTTTGCCGGATTGCCTCTATTTTTTTCTCATAATTTTCATGATCTTTATACTGAGAAGACTGCACAGTTTGGAGTTTCTCTTCAAGTGTTTTCAGTGTATTGGCCAGCTCAGTGATTTTGGCTTTGTCCTTTTCTTCAACTGCTTTCTGTTTACTGAGCTGTTCTTGAAGTCCTGACTGCTCTTTCAGGGACTGATTAAGATCACCTTCCAATTTTTTCAACTGGGTTTTCAGGTCATTTTCCTTATCTGACAAAGCGTTCACCTTAGCCACTGACTGCCTTAGTTCTTCTTGCAATTCCTTCAGGGACTCCTCCCTTCTCACCTGTTCTTCCTTCAGTTGGGTTATTTCTGTTCTGGAGCCCTCCTTCTCAGCACTGAAGGTGGCAAGTTTCTGTTTCAGGTCTCCAACTTCCTGCTCTTTCTCTTGCAGTTCCATTTCATGTTTTTCCTTGAGCTCTTCGACCTGTTGATTGAGTTTCTTTTCCCAACTCTGGACAATTTCTTCCAACTCCCTCCTATGAGCCTCAGCAAGACTCTCTAGTTGCTCCTTCTGATTAGATTCCAGTTTTGACACGGCATCATTGATTCCGGCTGAGCTGGCATGTGCCATTTCCAACATTTTAGCATTGAACTCACTCTCTTTCTGACTGAACTCCAACTGCTTGTTTTCAAGCTCTTTTTTTAGTTTAGCTTCCTGCTCAGCAAGTTTCTTTTTGAAAGTTTCTTGCATATCTTTTGATTTCTGTTTAATTTTCTCCAATTTGTTCTCCTGACGTTTCAGTTTACTTTCATATTCCCCTTGTAAAGCACTAATTCTCTCCTCTGCGGCTAACAGTTTCTGTTTCAGCTCTTCTACTTGCTTGTCCTCTAACTTCATGTGTTCAATTTCATTTTCCTTTTCACTTAGACTTCTCTTTGTCTCATCAGCCTCTCTTTGTAGATCCTTCAGTTGACCTTCATATTGTTGTGTTAGAGAAGTTACTTTTTGTGTATTTTCATTACTCTGCTCTTGCAAACGCTGCTTCAGGTCATGTACCTGGGAGATATATGCTTCTAACTCATTCTTGACTTCATTCAGCTGGGATTCAGTTCTTTCTAGTTGCTCACGAAGCTGCAATTTTTCACCTTCAAGATCTGTCAGATTTTGCTCCAGTTTTGCTAATTTCTCTTCATAAATCTTTGCCTGCTCATTAGAAGTACTCCGATGAGATTCTGAAAGCTCCTCCAGCTTTCCAGTCGCTTGGACAAGTTCAGCTTCAGATCTTTCTGCAGATTCCTTTAGTTTCTGTTCATGTGCTTTTAGTTCCTCCAGTTGCCTGTCTTTCTCCTCTAATGATTGCTTGAGTTTGTTGAGTTCCTCTTTGAGTATCTTCTCAACACCTTGAATAGACATTTCATGCTCTTTTAACATCATTCCAACCTCTTCTTTGTGTCGTTTCCTCTCTTCTTCCAATTTTCCTTCCAATTCTTGCTTCGCTTCACATACTTTACTATTCAATTCAGAGAGCTCTTGTTCTAAATCATGACGTATTTTTAGTGCCTCTGATAGCTCAGAAGACAGTGCTTCTAGTTCTGTTTGTTTCACATCAAGTTTTTCTAATGTTTTTTCATTCATCTCTTCTATGTGTGCCTGGAAAACTGTTTCTTTCTCTTTCAAAATTGTATCCATCTCTTGTTGCTGTTTCTCTCTCATTTTCTCTATTTCTGTTACTTGCTGTTGCTTTAAGATTCTAAGTTTTTCTGTCCAAAGCTCTTCCTGCTGCTGTTTCACGTTCTCCAATTCTTTCTTGTGCTTTTCAACTATATCATTGATTTCCTTATTGTGCTGCTTTTTTTCAGACTCCATCAGAGTACTTAATTCCTCTGATTGCTTTCTGTCATCTTGTGAATACTTTGCAAGAGAGCTTTCCAGTTCAAGAATCCTCTGTTAGAGAATATAGTTTTAAAATAATATGAATATCCAAAAGGTAACAAGCTGATTAAATTTAAAAAAATCTCACCAGGTTTACAGAACTACACTTATTCCATTATTTTTAGTGAATATCGACATTTTATATAAGCCTTTCATTCATCTAGTTTGTTGTAAACTTTGCTTCCATTATGGTGTTAGTTATTTAATAAAATAATTTAATAAAATAAAATTTAATAAATTTCCTATTTCACTGCAGTGAAAATAGATACAATAAAAACTTGGAAAGAATTTAAATACTCCAAATAAATAATTCACATGATATTTATGAGATATGTTCACAGTTTTTTATTAAGCTAAAGTACCAATACATAGGATGAAAGATCGTTATCATGGAAATGCTGCTGTAAAGTTAAAACACTTCTACATGTAAAACTTTCAAATTAATATTTGGGAGTGGTGGAATAATGTACAAACTTGCATTGGCAGATAATACAATCTTACCCATTATATAAAGCAGAGCACACTTCAAAAATTTAAGCAAATTTTTTACCTACTCAAGTATCCTTCTAAGTGTATGGTAGCAGCACCCAGAAGTTACACAGTTTAAAGTTTAACTCTCCTGTATAACATACATAAAAATTATGTAGATGGAAGCAAATTCATATCCTATGCCATGATATCAAGTGAATGTATTTCTATATTTTGCCTTCTAATCTTGTAAAAAAAAACAGAGGCTGCAGCATACCATAGCAATACATTAAATTTCTGTCACTACAGGAAGCATTGTGAGATTAAAACAATCCAATCACAAAAAATCCACAGATTTTGTAAACCTGTCACAGTTAAACATATACTGAAAGGAATTTTTGTAAATGTTTAAGCTTTTGGAATTGTATTTACTCACAGTTCTGAAAGTCTCTACTTCTTGATGCATCTTCTGAACTTTCTTGTCACACTCTGACTGTATTGCTTTCTTCTGCAGCTCTAATTCTTCTAACGCTAGGGATTCTTGCTGCTCTTGTTCTTGAAGGGTTTTTAAACACTCACTCTGATTTTTTTCCTGTATCAAATATTATGATCAAAACAATAAACTATAAATATAGTCATAATAACTTCAAAACTAGTATAATAGGATATTTACAAATCAGTTAATAGGATTCATATACTAATCATCTGTATTTTCTCCCCCCATCCCGTTTGTATTTCATCTGTGAAAACAAAATTAGTTATAAATCACTTCCATTTTCTCTTCTTGGGAATCATTTGCCTTCTACTTGTCTTTGTATGAAAAATGTTAATAGAATCCAACCTTTCATTTTGGTTTGTTTACCACAATTAATTGAGACTAACACCTTAGAGGAGTAAAGGTCTGTCCTCACTTGATTGCACTGCTAATGTATTTTTAAGCTTCTATTCTTATAACTAAAAGAATAACCTGGGACAAAGGTAGAAAAATACAGCCATGGAAGGGACTGTCAAAGTCCTTCAGTCCTAGTCACCGACTATCATGGAGGAGCAGAAAAGAAAATCTACTGTTTGTTAGGTAAAATTACGTGATGACCTAAAGTGGATTGCAGTTTATGAAAAAGGGCAAAGAATCCCAATGATTCCTCCCAGCCTAACCTAGAAGAAAATTTTTTTCTGTGGTCAAACACTATGAATAATTAACCTTGTTCACACAGCACAACACAACCAGACATAATGATTGCAACACTTTTCAAATAACAGCCTCCCTCTTTGTACCTCTTTTACTCTAGTTGCTGTGGCTAATCGCCAATGATCCAGAGGAAGAAATAAAAAAACCCAAACAAATCTAACAAAAAGAGTTTTCAAAGATGCAGCTGTTAATGAGCAGTGATAGTGATTAATTATCATTATTCAGTCTGGATCATTGCAGCTGCTTTCCTTTCTCGTGGCTGAAGTCCGCACTCTTTGGCTTTTGGAGGACACTCGTATCTTTGAGTGCAGAAGGACTGCAGAATAGGGTCAGATGAAGAATTCTCGTCCCACCTCACTCTTAGATAAATGTCTTTCTACACGTTTTAGGGATACTTACAAGAGCTGCCTTCATCTTCTCCTCGAATGCCTTTTCTTGGGCCTGTAATCTCTCATTTAGCTCCTGATCTTTGGTAGCCATTTCTTTTTTATGGAATTTTTCTAGTTCAGCAACACGCTCCTCTGAAGACTTCTGTGAATCAAAGTCAGAAAACACTAATTTCAAAATATTAAATAAGAAAACACTTTGTATTATTTCTTAATAAAAAAGCAGTGCAACAGAGAGAGGAAACCAAAACCATCTCTATGCTCCCTTGGAATAAGTAACAATCACTCGCAGCGCTTTATATTAAGCCCTGACAGTCCTTATTTTCAAGCTTGCAGTTACCTATCTCCATTCTCAACTCTTTCACAGTTCTACTAAAAGAAACACATTTTCTAAAGACTCTTGTCTTAAGTATATCTTAAATCCCAGACAGTAATTTTTATAGAATTTATTAAATAGCAAAAATTTTAATAACAAAGTTCTAATATACTAATGCAATTTTACAACCATAGTTTAATTGTAATCGAATTATTAGATTAAAAGCCAATAATACAGGGTGAGTTTCAGCTTTTACCTTCATAATCTCAACCACCTCTTGTTTCACTCTGGTTAACTCCCGTTGAAGATTTACCCTCTCTTCCTCACTTGCCTTTTCTACTGCTTTGATTTTTTCATCCATATCTGCCTGCAATTTTTTCCGGGCTTCCTCTGTCTTTTGGGCAATACTCAGAGCCCTCTCAAGCTCTTCAAAAGCTGCAAAGAAAAAAAAAAAGCATATAATAGTCAAGAAATATGTATGTCCATTGATAGAAGAGAGTTCTCAGTAACTGTAAACTACACAAGTAACAGAAGAATGAACTTAGGAATCCATCAAGAAATCACATGAGTTTATTATCTAGAAAGTAAAGAGAACTGACAAATAGTTGTGAAAGTCTTCCAATACATTTGGTAGCTTCTACTTCTTCCCCTAAAATCACTATAAAATACATAAGCCATATAAATGAATTATGGCTCTTCTGGTTATATATGCTGAATACCTTTGAAGAAGAGGAAAAAAGCTGCATGAAGAAATGGCAATTCACAAGTTGTTCATCCACTAAACAAGCAGACATAAACCAGGAATGACTGCTATGCCAGTCAAGTTTTTACTGAATCATGAAAGAGTTCATCCTAAGAACACTGAAGTATAATACCAGGCACTTTATTTACCTAAAAGTTGCTCATTTCAAACTGTACAAACTAAATAATCTTTTCTTTAAACAGCGGGCTGGGTGAGTCCATAGGGATGGCTTTGCTAATTTCATTATTTCACTGTTTACTTTTAATGCAAACTACTATCAATGCAAATCAGAGACATTGGAAAAACGTTTCTGTGTTATGAAGACTATCCTGTGCTTCTAAACTTTGCAAATAAAATGTCAGAAAAAAATATTAAGATTTGCTTCCAAAAATTTTGAGTATCTGTAAGATGTTTCAAAAGAACACTCAAGCTGCAGTGATGAAATTTATTTACATTTGCATAAGATGCACAAGTCTGCTGAAACACATTTTAATTTACAAATGGGAAACAATAATTCCATAGCTCCTTCCCACACTAAGGAGAAATATTCTAACATACGTTATTCACAGAATGGTTAGGGTTGGAAGGGGCCTCAAAGATCATCTAGTTCCAACCCCCTAGCCATGGGCAGGGACACCCTCCACTACACCAGGTTGCCCAAAGCCTCATCCAACCTGGCCTGAGGTTCACTTCATAGATAATAATTATTCACTTCATAGACAATAATTTAGATATAAAGAGAAAGCAAATAAACTCCTGTGTTGTGAGCTGGTTGTATTATTACTACTGCTGCTACTACTATTATTATTATTATTAAATACCAGTATTTGAGTTCCTCACTGAAACTGATGGCAGAATCTATACAGAACTACACAAGACTAGAATTTGACCATTATTAGGGAAATCTCCTTTCCTGAATAGACAGATCATCAATGAGGAAAACCCCTGCAGCATATCAAAGAAAAATTCAGTCTCAGAACAGCCTACTAAATGGGTAATTTTTTGCACAAAAGAACTTTGGCAAAACACCTCTGTAAAATTCAAAATCACAGTGCCAGTATCAAGATTGTAATTTATCAGGGCACAAAACCCCTAGAAGTATATTATTCTATTATACCCTGGACTACTTGGAGCAGACAGAACAAAATAATTCTTAAAGTGTTCCTCAGTACGCTAAGCTTTCTTCCACATAGTTCTATCTCCAAAAGATAATCATAATAGGTACACATTTCCCTGGTTTCCTTGAGTCACCATTACTTAATAATCATTCACAACAATTCTCATAATCCTTGTTCTTTTAAAACTATCTTTAATAACATTCAGGCATATGTTTGAGAAGTGAATAATAATTCCCATTCCACCTCTTCTGATAACATTCAAAACTGAAGCTTTTAACCACAATCTATTTATACTTCTAAGGCAATGCTGCAAGTATGTTTTCAAGTAACTTAATTCTGTAACATTGCATTCACTCAAATGCTGACCTTTTCCAAAATTTTCTTCTGTTTTCTGAGGAAGTCTTTTTCTAACTACTCACAGCAACAATCATGTTTTAGGGCAAAACAGGGTTGTTATTGACCCTGGCAATACCAAAACACATCACTGTATTCACTTTTTCACTCTCAGTTCTACTTGAACAATAAATATTAAAAATCATTACCAAAACCTAAGAGCACTAGAGATTATTTCAAACAGCAGAACAGTCCAAAGCATAATGCAAACATGCATGAGGCTTACAGTTCCTCTATTTCCAAGCACAGTTCTTCCCAGTCCCCACGAAGGCATTTGCCACCTGGGACCTGCAGGACTCAAGTCCACCCGAGCACAACTCGGTTATGAACCCAGCCTGCACAAGTGTGTTTGGAGAACGGCACCGACTTCCCTGAAGCTCCTCTCAGCCCTAACAAAAGCACTCACAGCCAGCAAAATGGGCCAAATCCTTCAGTACTACAGCAGCATAAATGTTTTGTTGTTTTTTTTTTTAAAAAAAAAAACCCTACAGACCTTTACCAAGTATAGCTTAAGAATAAAGCCTGCAAGTAAAAGATTAGGTCATTTCACTTTTCTGTACATGTTTTCAGATTCTTGTTCTGAGCAACATATACTTGATCTTCATTTGAGAAACCGGTTAACTTCTACAAAAGGAAAGAGAATGCATTTGCCACAGCCCACAACTCCGCCCAAGAGAAGACCCAGGTTCACACTAGGATTGACTACTGATATAGAAGAACTGAGCAACATGCAGAGCACCAGCTGCATCGCCGTCGTCGCAGGCAGGATGCTAACACAGAAGCTAGACAAAAGCTGATGGAGAAGATGCCAAGCGGATATGAAAGCACAAAGAAGCAACGCTTCACAGAAACACACTCAGCTCTCTAAAAGTTAAATTATATGCATCTCAGGCACTTTTAGCACTGGAGCAAAACAGAACACTTTTATTCAAAGTAGTTAATTCTAGTGTAGCATGACACAATGAAGTTTCAAATGAGAGGAGGGCTAAACCATCATCAAGTGGAAAGGACATGGTGCAAATTATTATTATTGGTTTTAATCTATGGGAGAGTTTAGTTCTACTGTGGATAACAGCCTGGAATAAAAGTTGATGGTTTTATCCAAATCCATCTATTCTGAATGCAAAGAGTAAAGGCGCTACCTGTGCTCTTCCCCAACCAGCAGAGCTACTGTTGAGGGAAGATCTGTTAACCGAGGTACTGCCTAAGTGCAGTCTCACAAAGGTACAGTGGCAAATCAGAACCAGGAACAAGAACACCAAGAGAGTCTTACAAAATCCCTTTCATGTGACCAAGCCAGACAGATCACAATTTCTGGGCATCAATTACACAAAAAGAGCCTGAGCAGAGCTGAAGAAGTGCAAGGTTGCAAACCTGATTTTTATAAAACGTGTGCTAGAGAGTTGACTGCTTTACACACGCTACTCCAGAAGACCAGCCTCAGCTCCTTTCTCCTTGCCTCTCCCACCCAGTGTAACACCAGTCCCCACTGCCAAGGCTTCTCGCTCACTTCCCGGGGCTGCATTACGTGTTATCTTTAACTGCAGTGCCATCTGCTGCTGAAAGTCTTGGAGAAAGCACTGGACAGGATGGCAAAGGAGGGATTTACACGTTTTCTTCCTGAAGGCTGACAGCAGGCATCTTGTCAAGAGTTTGAGAAACAAAGGTTGAGTTTATTTCCTGTAATTGATGTGTGCATCTAGGCAGGATTTTAAATGCACAGTGCAAGGTTTTTGTTTCTCTGTAAAAAGGTGCAAAGCACACGTTAGCTAAGCTTGCAAAAGAAATGTTGCCTACAAAAAATGGCAAGTGAAGCAAAATGAATTTGCTTTCTAAAGACTTTTTTTTTGTTTACTGTACAGAATATAAGTTAGTCAATAATCAGCATCCTGAGAAGTTAGAAAGGACTTATGCTAAGTAGTCTCAGGAGAAATAAACTTCAGTTTACCAGTAAAGTTACAAATACTATAAATAGCTTTGTTGAAGCAAAATGTAAATAATCTATGTACATGGCAAAGCTTCAAAAAAAATTCAGTTGCAGTTACTTCAAGTAAAAGTGCCTGAGAAGCACAGAATTTACTTTTTAGAGCCCAGTTCAAGCACCCAATGTGTGATGTAAGAAAAAAGAGCCCTTACCCCAGTCCTGTTCATACAAGGCTTGGGAAAGGCACCATGATTCACTTATTGGCATGTGTGGATGCACAAAAACAAGATGCTCTGTGAGATTTCAACATAATGTACCTCTAACTACAAAAAAAATGAACTTCAACTGGGGAGACCAAGTTAACAGTTCACACAACACGCACAAAATAAGCATACATACCTCTGCACTATTTCAGTACACAAAATGCATTAATATTAAATCAAACACTGGAAAATTTCACTAAAGTCACTGAATTACAAAGAAAAAGCCAGACACGTAACTCTAGGTAAGTTAAAAACACAAAGTGGAAAAATACACTACTTTTTAGCCTGCAATATACCACTATGAAAGTGAACTCCAAGTATAAGTGTATTATGCTTATCCTTATTTTATCATAACATAAATGAAATTAACATTTCTACAAACACAGTATTCCATGAAGTCAATTCCTCACTAAATCATGATATAGAAAAAGAGAAGTCTAGAATTTAAAGTCATCTCACATCAACTATCCAAGAAACAGAACTTTAAACATGTTGACCTCAAAATCATGAAACTGCCAAATTCTTAAAACTGGTACAAACTCAAAGGTTGTGACCTAGAAGGAATTTCAGGCTCTTCCAATATTGAGGGTGGTTTTCTCAAATGCCTGAACAATTTAGTTCAACTGTATTGAACTACACTTCCATTGTATGTCACAACTTTTTTGGAAAGCATAAAGCCAAGGAAGTAATAGAAAAATCTAATAAAGCTCACTGTACAATTTTGCCTGTCTATGAAGTAGTATTAAGTAATTTTCCAAAGGTTCCAACATTTATATATGTATGCTTGACAGAATACAAAAATAAATGCATTCAAAGGTAAAGTGGATGTTTATACACCATAAAGGTTACCAAAAGTATTTAAAATTTTATTTAAAAGAGAGCATATATAACATAAAACTTCCCCTAGAAAAGTGCAGCATACTCAACACATTATTCATCAGTGAAATTATTTCTCAGTACAATAGTTAAGTTTTGCAGGTATCCAGAGCATCAGCTCTAACCCGTTTTCAGCTTCTGGCTATGCAAACCTGAGGAAATTACAGTATTAACGAGAGTGGCTACATATTAGTTCATAATTCAGAGGTTTCTATCGTTTCAAAAAACACAGTGTTTCAAACAATGGCAATAACTTCACATCTATAAAAGTATTAAAATATTTTTCAGCCTTTTTTTTTTTTTTAAATCATGAAGAAAAGCTTCCTAGTCTCCAAGAACTGAACAAAATCCAACTTTAGCAGGACTGACTGACTTCTGAAATATGAATTTCCAGAACTAAAAAGACATGTGCAACCCGAAAGGGTAGGAGAGGAGGGCACCTAATCAAATGTGTTACTTTCACAAGATGGACGTTCAAGCTGCTTTTCTGTATCACAACTGAATCATCTACCCAAAGTAATCTTTAAAATTGAAAGTTCTGATCTAAATCGACATAGATTTAAAATAAAACCCTATGAACTGTGTTGTTTGAACTTCTCATTGTTTTTTAGAGAAAGAAAATATGCACCATGTTTCATGCAAGCTAACCACATCTGAGCTTCTGCCGAAAAAGTGAACTCCTTTAGACGCCTATGAGAGAAAACTAAACTCTTCTACAATAATTTTGATACATATTGTGCAAAACAATTTCACTGTTTAAAAAACAAAGGTAGGGCAGATTGACCTTTTAATTGAGTTTCAAGCAAAAGGAGAACTGCAGGCACACGTAATTAATGTTACCCAATTTCCATCAAAAGCAAACTACAGCATGTAACAGTTACATAAGGTTCCAAGCCTGAAGCAAAAGGAATCATCACTGCTGTTTCGCTAAATAGAAATCAGAAATGCTTCTGCTACAATTATTGAAATAAAATGCTTATTATGGTTTTAACAAATCCTCTCATTTCTACTTTTTCCCAAGCTCTTATACACTCACGGCTACGTTTACTACGTAAAATACTAGTGGCGTAATAATGATAATTTATAGATAGTTGTAAGTTTCCCTCCTGAAGTTACACCAGCACAGAACTCTATCAATCTTTTCTCCTACAAATGGGAAAGTACAGCTGCTCTTCAACAGTTTCCTTCTTAACTCCAGTTGAATTGATAACAGAGACAAACCAGTGAAAAAAACCCTTAAACTCTGCTGGTCAGAAGTGAAGTTAGTAAGGATGCTAGCAGGGGTGATATGCAGAACATTAGGAAAAAGAGCATCTCTTAATATTCATTCCAAACCACAAGTGATGAAAGAGTGCAAGAAGACCACGCTGAAGCTTTGTCATGTTTAAATGTGAAAGTGAATAATCCCCAGAATTTCTTACCAGCTCTTTCAGATTTTTCCTTCTGTTCTTTTAATTCCTCGCCTTTTGTAGTTATTTGTTTGATCCGAGCACGCAGTTGGGCTATCTCCTCCTCCTTCATTTCCAATGTTTCGTGCATTTGTCGCTTTGTCTCTGCAATTACCATGCCCTATGGAAAAGGTCCTTGTGATAAAAAGCTAGCAAATAAATAAAACATATAGCTAAACCAATTTCAAGTCAGAACACGATACTTGTCAGGAATAAACTTTAGTCTACTACTACAAGACCAGAGATCACAGTATTTCTCTACGTTAGAAAACAGAAAATGGTAATAAAAAGAAGGTAAGAATAGGGATTATTTTGAAGAGTAGCCAAATTTTTATCTAGCAGTGAAAAGAACTCCTCCAAGAACTAAGGACCATCAGAGAACTTCCTCCTTCTGGTACAGGTACTTGTCTTTGAAATATGCATTCTGTAAAGAAACCAAAACTAAAAGGACTGTAGTGTGTGTGCTTCTCCTTAGAGAACATACAATGAGTGTCAGTCATGTTGCTTATCACAGCACCAGAACTTACTCCATGTACCAAGACTGTGCTAAAAAAAAACTTAAAGGAACAAAAAGCAGAGAAACTCTTCATATTTCTAAGAAACTACAGTTCCTTCTCCTTCGTTGGTCATTTTTTAAATCCTTTAACACTGTATCTCATCTTCATTAGTGTTTGGGGGTATTTTGGTTGGTTGGTTGGTTTTTTCTGATGTTCTATTTTTTTAAAGCTGGCATTGAGGAGTGTATTCAGCATAATTGCTCCATAAAACAACATCGTCTTGCAGTATTAAGTATAACCTAACAGACAAATACCCTAAAGTATCTATACAATAAAATCCTCAGGCAGCTTGAATTATTTGTTCGTTAAAACATAAACCAAACCACATCAGACAGCTAAGAACAGCTTTTAATACCAAGAAGCCAGATACTATGAGTTTTAAAACATCATCTTCACAAACTACACTGACTTGAAAGAAATTTTTTTGTTTACCTTGTCTTGTTCTAGCTGCTCAATCAAATTCTTTGCATCGCGCAGCTGCGTAATCAGCTTAGTCTTCTCAGCCATGTGAAGGTCCTAAAAAAAAAAAAAGACCCCAACCACAAGGTTTAAAGCACTGCCATCTGTAAGAAAATGCTTTATTCCGACAAACAGCTCTTACCCTGCATTATGCCTTGGACGAAGAGCACCAAACAGAATCCAGGGAAATTAAAGGAGACAGCTTTAAATTACTTTTAAATCTCTCAGTGCCAGGCTGCCTCATGGCTTTCATGATAATTAAGATATGTGTATCTTTGTTCAGATATGTGTAGGCCTTTTTTTTTTGTGTAGGCCTCCAAAGTTCCCTCATGGATGTCAGAGCTGCTACAGCAAAAGGGGCAAGAAACATGCCTAAGGCATCTGCTCTGTTACCTGCATCGTGGCTTACAAGAGGATCTCAGCAATGCAGCGTAACTGCTTATTACCTGCCTTGCTCTGGAAAAGGTCCTTAAAACACTCCAGTCTTTCAGAGCTCTTTCAAACTGGGCTAGTGCTCAGAGAACAAGGCAGATAAGAGAACCTGATCTCCAGAAGTGAGGATGAGTACAGCTCTACTCAGCACATTTTCACGTTTGCATTACTATCAGTCGCCCTACTTGTACACCACACTCAGCATTAACGGCCTTAAAAGGAAAACTGAGCAAAATATTAATTTATCTTTGGGACTGCACTTATGTTATCTTCAGTATATTGTGCTCTCCACTGACCTACCTTTTTTTATTTTCTGTTTATTTACATAACTGATGCTTCTTCCACTATGTCTTAAAGGTTTAGCTCTGCTCAGTTTTATTTTCTGTTTATTTACATAACTGATGCCTCCTCCACTATGTCTTAAAGGTTTAGCTCTGCTCCACTTCTCTCACTTTACCTCCTGTCTTCTGTGACAGGACAGTCTTTTCCTCACCCCAACTTCCCACAGCTACTTTATTTCTGATACCATTTTGATGGTTATTCATACAGTAAGTTTTAATACCCTTCTTTACAGTTTTTTTGAGTAATTGCTCAATGTGTTCATTGCAAGTGGGTTTTGCACCTTTAACTACAAAAAAGTACAGGGACAGTTTGTTTAATGGTCTGCCCTATTAATAAATTCTGGAAATAATGGAGTTCTTACTCCATTCAGAGTTCTCTGTTCAGCCTGGAGAAGAGAAGGCTCTGGGTTGATCTTATCACAGCCTTCCAGTACTTAAAGGGGGCCTACAGGAAAGCTGGAGAGGGACTTTTTACAAGGGCGTGTAGTGACAGGACATGGGGCAATGGCTTTAAACTGAAAGATGAGAGATTTTGATTATAGGAAGAAATTTTTCACTCAGAGGGTGGTGAGGTACTAGAACAGGTTGCCCAGACAAGTTGTAGATGCCCCAGCCCTGGCAGTGTTCAAGGGCAGGCTGGATGAGGCTTTGGGTAACCTGGTGTAGTGGAGGGTTTCCCTGCCCATGGCAGGGGGGTTGGAACTAGATGATCTTTGAGGTCCCTTCCAACCCTAATCATTCTATGATTCTTACTGCATTTTTTCCAACCCAAACCATTCTATGATTCTTACTGTATTTTAGTTAAGAGTTAAGAGCATTTTCCACACCTTCATTTTCTCCAGTTCCTGAAGTCTTTCTTCTAACTGTTCTTGAAGTGCCTCCTTCTCGTTGGTTAATTGGGCGCAGCGCTCCTTATGAGACTGAATCATCTCCTTACAACGTTGCAGTAAGTTCTCTTGGCGCTTCACCCTCTGGTTAAGAGTTTCCAGTGTTTTAACAGAATCTCCACTACCCTCTACAAGACAACATACCAACGTTATTGTATGCATACCGTTTCCAAAACGTAGATGTGCATTCATCATTCACACTGCAGGCAACTCACAGGTCTCTACAGCAAGCTGTGCAAAGTCTGAAAAACTTCCTAGTGACCACTGTAACTGCCAGAAGCATGCTACACATACACAAAATCGTAAATGCAGTCTCTCACCCCAAATTAATTCACAAAACAGTTACTAAACAAGCCTCAAAACCAAACTATTATTCAACAAGGTTTTCTGTGCAATTAAAAAGTCATCATGATTTAAAAACCTGCCTGCTGCTACTAAGAAAATATTCACAAACAGGAAAAAACACAAAGCAAAGCAAATCACACTGCTCGAGTGCCAAGCACACAGATTCCTGCTTTCTCAGGGCTGGGTATGACGTTAAT